CCTGTAGAAAGATTATTATTCAATCCAAGGTGGTTTCGATTGCAAATCTCTCAATTAGTAAAATGTGATTTCTTCTAACCATTTTATGATTGATTACACTTTAAAGTAATATGTGATCCCCTCTAATTACTCGTTTCTCGGATAATCCCCCAGAGTGGGTGTGAGCTATGCTTTTAGGCCGCCGCCATCATAATCATCATCATCATCGTCATCATCATCATCATCATCATCGCCGTCTCTGGTACCGTGAGTCCCACTAAACACAAGATATGTAACGCTTCCTGAGCGAAGTGAAAAAAAAAATGTTTTGTTGCGATAACGCATTTCGGAAAATTGTTCATCCTCTTGTATCGTTTAAAGTATGAAACTTGTGCAGATCGAAGTGCTTCATGAAAAGCGCTCTTTAGAGAAAGCTGTCTACATTACCCCGAACTGTGTTCTACATTGCCATCATACACGAATATTAACCTCTGATGACTTATCGCCACTCATAAAGTGTGAGGCATTGCGCCATCTCCCTTATTAGCCGAGATTGATTCAGTTGTGAAGGCGCTTTGCCAGAGTACTATGATAGAGCCTCAATAATTTTAACTTACACAACGGCAAGACATGCCACACACTGTCTCTATTTCGCACCTCTGCGTATGAGAAAGCTGGAGAACAGCTGGTGCTGGCTGCGTTTGATTTCTCACAAGCTCCTCACAGGGTTCCTCAGTAATTGGCCTAATTAAGACGATTCGCAGGCGAAATCCACCCATAACGCTATAATTCATCATAACTTCGCGAAGTAGCGAAGTACCCACTATGCTCGTCGGTACAGAAATGTGTTCGCCTACGCAGCAGCGCACAGTGTTGATGCCGTAACTGTTGCTGGTGCTGATGAAATGGCTCAGCCTTTTGCAATGGGCGGGCAGCTTTAAATAATCCACCCGGCACGCGATTCACGTCGTGTGACGTGCGGTGGGGTTCTGCGCTTTGGCCATGCGATGGTATTGCATTTATGTTGAATTTATGACAGATGTATGATTCTCAATTTATTATTATTGTTATTACTATTATTATTATTATTATTATTATTATTATTATTATTATTATTATTATTTATTTATTTATTTAAACCGTTTTTGCGTTTCTAATTTTTTCCTCTGCAAAGATGAAGCTGGCACTCATTGTGGTTAGCTACGTGAAACCGCAGATAGACTAGAAGCGGACACGGCGCAACTCTGTGCAGTGAACATTTCTAGTCTGTATCTGGTTTCGCACTGTTATTCACACTGAATTTGCAACACCTCGCCCAGTTTTCCATCTTTAACTTTAACGTGAAGCTATGAAGAACAGCTGAAAAACCGCCGGCTTTGTGGGAGATCCCTCGCAGTGGGTAAGAGTCATCTGTGAAGAACAAGAACAAGGACGTTCTTCAGGTCTAGGCTTAACGTGTAGCCTAACTCGTCATCGAAGGTTTGCGTTTCTCTGCGCTCAACATCCTTTGGCGTTCTGTTTTGTAGATGTCGCAATCTGACGTGCGTCTGTTTTAACTGTTGCAGGTCGAACTTGGTACCGGAAATGGCAAGCCTTCCGCAGTAAAGCCCTGCTTCTTGAGCTGACAAAGTATGCCAGCAGGCTACCACCTCTGCCACTCCAGAATTATTCTATGAGCCAAACAATCAGCAAGAGGCCCACCTACAAGGTAGGAATCGAAGGCGCATTGATAACACTCGCGAGAAAAGAAATAACGAGGGAGTTGTACGTTTCGTGGCCGGCCTTCGTAAGCTAAGTACAAATAGAACTATCACCTTTTGTCTTTTCAAAATAGCCTGCCGTGAGCGCCCATTATATGGTGTAGAAATACATCAAATCTAGTCAGACGCAATTACCAGAGGCTGGATTTTAGGCCTATTTCTACTTTGTTTTTCACGCTTCAATTGCGCCATTTTGGTGCGAGCATCAATTAAGGGCTAATAAGGACTTTCATGCTATCTTTATAGTGCCTATAAACGCATATTTCTGGTGTGCGTGCCTATACGCCTATACGTACGTATAAATGCCAATTTTCAAAACTGGCACCGATGTGAACATTATTGAACGTCATGTTTCGCTTCCGGGTGCAGTTTGAGCCCGTTGTGCATGTTACCGCGCAACACTAACTGTTTGGAATCTATATGGGTTTCAACGTAGTCCAACTACCGGAAAATGCGAGCAGCAGGGAAATGGGACGCGTCGGTGAGCTTATATACGTTGTCACGCTGATTGCGGAGAGTGGTCACAGTAGAGGGAAGAAAAGAATTTGTAATGTGCATGCGGGTATTGTTTGTTTGATAATATGCTATTTGAGGTGTCCAGTGCCGAGGCTTGTACGCGAGTCGACACGGCCAATGGGAACGATCCACTATTTCTGGCATTTTAGCGATATGAATGTCTGCACCTGCTCTACCCCCTTCTCAGTCATGCTGAAAAGAAAGGCACGCAATTTCTTGTTGCTTCGACTGTGGACACCTTACTCATCATGCGATAAAAGGAAAGGCCATGCTCTGCATGCAAAGCTTTCGTGACGAAGAACAATTACAGGGCTACGTTCAACTCTTCGTGCCTGTGTCATATTAAACAATATTTCTCCTAAGTTTTTTTTTGTCGTGAATAGAGGTCACGCACGTGTTCCTTCGAAATGTTTTCGATTTATTTAAAATCGATTCTGCGTATATTTGCAATGTTAGAGGCCTAAAGCCTTGTTTTGCTTGCCTGTTTCTTGGGGCTAAAGTGCGTCTTTTTAATGTCTGAAAATCCAGCCTCTAGTGATCACACCTTTGATCTACTTCGCTTCGAAAATTGCACAGTGCTTCTGTATAAGTAAATCTCTAGCGCCGAAAGCTTTTTTTTCGTCGTGCTTTCTAAGTGGTGCCTCAGACACACGAAAGCAGTTGTCGGCTGATCTCTGAAAGAATTGGGCAATAGTATTCAACGGCAGGTTTTTGCTGCTTGTAGTATCATACCTGGGCGGCGGTGTACAACTAATGATGCAGTGTTCCAATGGATCTACCACATTCGTTACGCATTGGGCCTTGTATATATGCTGTAGACGACACTACTATTCTTTTTATCATGTCAATACTTGTGACCGATAGTAGCTATGCATGCTATGAGTAAAATGATAACTCTTATAGGTTAATGTTATGAAGTATTCGTCAAGTGATACAAACGAATGAACTTCCTTTGAGCCTCAGTGTGGCACAGAGAGCTGTAAATGAGGTCACAGTCAAGAGCCCAGGTTTGATTTTGACCGATTGTTAACTTAATAGCTTCGTAAGAGAGCTTCACAATGCAATGTACACAATCGAATGACTTTATGGCCATCTTGGCCAAAAAAATTGGGCTCGTTACCTGAGAAAATCATTATTAAGGCGTAATAGCTTCTGGGCCATACGGCGTATTCAAATAAGCAGTTGGGATTTGTATATTTCAAGGAAACATTTAAAGCTTCATAACTTGATTGACACATTTTTCTGAGCTTGATAAAAGCGATCATTATGAAGGAACTTAAAATTTCGCAAGAGATATTCCCGTTATCGGAAGTGCCCAACGAGGACTACAGACGCTCGTCAAGGCAGGTTAATGTTAAGCGACTTTCCAACGTCAAAACGTGTCACAGTGACAATATTGACATTGTAATGATGCTGAAGCACATAGGGTAATAGAACAAACGTATTTTTTGAAAGGACGAACCTGTGCGATCAACTAAAATTCACAGCATGTCCACGGAGCGAATGATGATTATTGGGGCGAAGTGTGCTTCAGTCCGTTCGTGCGTCCGTCCGTCCGTATTTCCGTCCGTCTGTCCGTCAGCTGTGCCAACAACTAAAAATTACTGCGGTCGTAGAACTGTGAGTCAGTCGAAAATAAACAAGTCATAGAGCTGTTTTTTAGGGGCGAAGCTCCTTAGGGCGTGGGCTGTGCGTCCCCTGTAGCCTGTATGTAGCCACCTCTAGTTTAGTTCTTGCAGTGTTCACTAGATGGCGGTACCGTCCCCTGTATGTAGCCACCTCTAGTTTAGTTCTTGCAGTGTTCACTAGATGGCAGTACCGTCTCCTGTATGTAGCCACCTCTCGTTTAGTTCTTGTAGTGTTTACTAGATGGTGGTACTTGTAGCTGATGATGAAAAGATGCAAGATGTTATAAACTAAAAAGCGGTACTTGTAGTTGATGAAACACGCGAGATCTTATAAAATAGGAATGATGTCACATATGGCGCGTGTCATTGGTTGAAGGCAATCGTTCGATTTAGTGCGGCGACGTACGCTAGGGGGAGCGATGTAATAAAATCGAGTGGGCAAAATGTACAGAGGATTCATGGTTTACCAGGTTTACCTCCGGAGCTTCGCCCACTCATCATCATTCACTTCGTGGATATGGCGGAATTTTTTTTTCGTTCTTTCCACGAGGAAATTCGGAGCGTGTGACCCATACAAGCCGGGTCCAGCCAGGCGCTCGTGCCAAGAGGGTCTCTGCGCGGCACGGCATTACTGCTCGCGTGCGTGTCTTAAGCGCACGGTGATGCATGGGCGCGTTATTTGAATGTGGGCAGAAAATTCTGCGACATAATTTAATGTGCTGCGCATTGAATACATGCACCGAAGATAGCTTTTTCGAAACGCACACACATTTTTTTCATTGTGTAGTTGTGTAGTTTTATGAGCGTGGTTTTATCCTTTGTGTGTTTACCGCTTCCCTCAAAATAAAACTACTTATAGCTCATTTCCGCATAAAAGGACGTGGCGTAGCCGGGGCGGGGGGGTTGTGGGGGCTGCACAAACGCACGCACGAACATACATAATGTACAATTGAACGGCCCCCCTTCCCCCACCCTCTCCTACCCCCCCCCCAAAAAAAAACAAATTCGGACTACGCCTCTCATAGCATACTACCAATGAACGATGCCCATAAAAATGCAAATATATCATTTAGGGATTCAATGGACACTCTCTTGTCTTTGCAGTTACAAGATCGCCTACAGTAAACGCAGCTTCACTGACAGTAGACTGTTTGTGGAAGCCAGTGCCGCGTCACATATTGAGGAAAATGCCGGAGCTCGAGTTTTGCCGGGCGAGCAAAACGTTGAGCCAGTAAACAGTGCCACAAAACAGCCTTCGCGAAGGAAAACGGCCACCGCGCTGAAATGGAAGCCAGCAGTGGTAGATCTTCGATTCCAGCGCATGAAGTTGCCGGGGAAAGCCAAGCCGTCACAACAAGAGCAGTGCCGGCGAATCCGCACTCAGCGGCAAGGGGCAGAAGCTTAACGGACCCGCACCATGAGGCCGCAAGCATGACAATCCCAGCTAATATAGAAGCCAGCGTGGTAGCTGTTCCGAACTTTTCGACTCAGAAGGAGCCAAAGCCATTGATAGCGGCTTCGCCGGGAAGTTTGGGTACAGAGGCGGAAGCGCGTAAGCGGTTGTACCTGACCATAGCCATAACGTACATGGCATCTCTATCGTTTGGATTTTCCGTGGCTTACTCTTCGCCAGCGCTTCCAAGCATTAGGAGGAACATGGAGTTCAGCGCGGCTGAAAGTGACTGGTTCGGTTCTCTCGTCATGCTGGGTGCAGTCTTAGGAGGCCTAGGTGGTGGTAAGCATGGAGATTATGCTGATAAAGTATGCAAGCAGATGTGTGTGGGACATCTTGGGCAGAACTTAGCTATGAGGGATCTTTTGAGTGTGCAATCCTGAAGTGAAGCTGATGATGATGATGATGATAATGATGATAATATTCTTTGGGGAAAAGAGTGGACAGAAAAGTTTTCTGGTAGTACTTGTGGTTGGATCATAATTAGTGCGTCTTCAGTGTAAATAGTAACCTTAGGTGCCAAAAACGAGACCACGCAGGAATGCACCGAATGGGTGGGCGTTCACAACAGAGTGAGTGAGTGTCTGTCACCGCCTCGCAGGCTCATGTTCTCGCAGGCTCGTGTTGTTCTTCGCGACTAAATTTACTATTTATACTGAATAGAAAAGGAAAAAAAAAGTGATACAGAAAGAAAGAGAGTTGCCCTGCGTGATGTAATCGCGAGCGGTTTGAAAATGGTTAGAGTGAGTGAGTGAAACAACTTTATTGACGATCCGGCATAAAGGGGGAAGGGGTAGGGGGATTAAAGCGAGACACTAGCGTGCTCGGACGTCCCGGAGCAGCAACCTACTCGCGTAAAACCCGTGGGGGCGCCGCTTTCGGCCGCTGGCGTTCCAGGATGCTAAGCACGTGCTGGACCACGTCTCTTTGATTGCCTGGCTCTCGGCGGATAATTTTGCTGCTTATGGCAGTTGGCATTACTTCTTTGTTAACAGGCGGTGGTGCACAGTCCCAAAGTAGGTGTCTCTGGGTGGCTCGCGCCTTCTTGCAGTGTTGGCATACATCAGTGGTGTAAACCTCCGGGCAAACGTGCTTTGCCCAGACGGGGGTCCATATTGCTTGTACTTGCAGCTGCCGTAGTGTGGCTGCTGCTCTGCGTTGTAGGTCTCGGTGAGGCGGTGGGTAGAGGCGTCTGCTCGTTCTGTACCATTGCAGAACGTCGGCGTAGGTTGTGATGAAATACTCTCCGTCTTCGGCATCGGGTCGTTGCGGCTCCGAGGAATGCGTTGACAGAGACCCGCGGCTAGTTAGCGCGTGTGCCTCCGTATCTGCCTCCTCGTTGCGGTTCGGGCCCACGTCCAGCTCCCCGGCGTGCGCAGGGAACCACTTGACGGTAATGTTGGTTTCCGGTCTTGCTATAGTTGAACATACTCTTGCAGTAGTTCCATGGACGTTGTTTGTAGCAAAGTTGGCTATTGCCGTCTTCGAGTCGCTGAGGACCGTGCGGCAATCCGGGATCGCTAGTGCCAGTGCGATTGCAAACTCTTCGGCTTGCGTGGGCGACTTGCGCCGTATGCTTCCCGACGTTGTGAGTGCTCCAGTGTCTGCTGCGATGACTGCTGCTGCGTACGTGTTTGGCCGGTGGGGATACTTCGCCACGTCCACGTAGTACGCGCGCGGATCGTTGGCGTGACCTTTTGTGAGGGCCTTGGCTCTCGCCGTTCTTCTTTCTTGGTGCTCTTGTGGATGCATGTGCTTCGGTAAGGGTGGAACCTTCAGTCTTTGGAGAACGTCTCGGGGTAGCTGCTTTGCTACCTCCGGAGTCGTCGCTGGCGCGTTGATTCCGATGCGCTGTAGTATCGTTTTTCCCGTCCTGGTCTGGACAGGCGGTGATACTGCGCCGTTCGCTGGGCTTCGGCGATTTCTTCCAGCGTGTTGTGAACGCCCAACGCGAGCATGCGTTTTGTGTTGGTGTGGGGGTATAAGCCCAGGGCCGTCTTGTACGCCTTTCTGATCATCGCGTCAATCTTGATCTTCTCCGCCGCTTTCCAATTGTGGAACGACGCTACGTAAGAGATGTGGCTGACTGCAAACGACTGGGTGAGTCGTAGTAGACTGTCTTCTCGCATGCCCTGGTACCGCGTGGCCACCTTCTTGAGTAGGCGGGTGGCCAGCGAGAGCTTTGCGTGGAGCTTCTGTATCGTCACGTTGTTGCGGTTCAAGTCCTGGAGGTGCAGCCCCAAAACTCTGAGTGTCTGCACGTGCGGTATCGGCGTTCCGTCTTGGGTTACAACGTTGATGTTCTGCGTTGTCGGGCGTCGCGCACTTCGCGGTGAGATCACTAGCAGTTCCGACTTGGTTGGTGAACATTTGAGTCCGGTGGGTCGTAGGTATTCTTCTACGGCGGCGACGGCTTCTTGGAGGGCTGCCTCGATCTGGCTGTCGCTTCCTCCCGTTGACCACAGCGTGATGTCGTTAGACATCACGCTGGTTAGAATGGTTAGAAAGGTGGGCAAGTTTGTAGGTCGAGTTCGCTGAGCGAGCTAGGAGCCAACGCACAACGGAGAGAGGAAGAACAGCGTAGCACGAGCACTGGTGGTGTGTGTTTCTCTCTCGGTCGTGTGTTCCCGCGCTCCCAGTTCACTGAAAGAATTCAAAACGTGTATTTCCGAGGAAAATCTGGGAGTGCTGTTGTGGCTCGCCGCCTAAATGCCAGTTGAGGCTATGGTTTTGGCTTACCTGCTGACTGTTCGGTTTTCTAGACTGGCTAAAGTGACCCACAGTGTCTGTCTTTCACACTGCGAGTATAGCAAGGAAGTGCAAAAGGTCAGGGCTTTTTTTTAATCAAGCTATGTGTGACCGCTGCCGAGGAAGATTTGGTTACAATGCTTGCAAAGGAATGATGATAATAATAATAATAATAATAATAATAATAATAATAATAATAATAATAATAATAATAATAATAATAATAATAATAATAATAATAATAATAATAATAATAATAATGACAACTAACAGACAGTAATGTTAGGGAAAGCGTAGAAATGTAATTAGAAGTAATTGTAATGCGTATGTGAAGAAAATGATGCTGTCTGAAGCAGGCTCCCACGTGGACGGAGAGATGACCGCCACTGTATTGACTGAGTGACCTGACTGAGCTATAGCTCAGGGGTGGAACACCAGATTCGTTATTTGAAGATTGCAGGTTCGTATCCTGCGGGTGACAAACTATCTTATTGTTCATTTTCCTTTTTTTCGCATTCACATTACACTTACTTGCAATAACATCTCCTATACTTTCGGGGCATTACTGTTTGTTAGTTTTCTTTATTATTGCGTCTAACAAGGAAAACGATCTCATAAAATATAGTATTTCTTTCTTGCGGAGGCGTAGTAAAATTTACAGCTTTCTGTATCTTTTATACGATGCCACCGTTTATTCATACTCTCGAACCAAACTGGGTCTGCACAATATGACAGCAACCAAAGAAAGTTGGTTGACGCTATATGTGTCTTAATACTCGCTACCATGAAAGTAAACTGTATGTTAGGAACATGTACGGTTGATCACATTTCCACATTGTCGCCCCATTATCGATTAAAAATTGAATGCTGTTCATCAACAGCAAATCTACACATGACGGTTAGTCAATCAGTAGTCGCCAACTAATCGACAATTAAAGTGGTTTCTTCTTTGTAATGTTTCGTTACGGTATTTCGTCGTTCCTAAACACATCTGCAGGCCGTCAACTGAACGTGATCGGCCGTCGCGGCACCCTGATTGCCTCCTCACTCTGGTTCATGGTAGGCTGGCTGTGCCTGGTGGTGGCCACTCCCAAGGCGGCGTTGTTTGTCGGCCGCCTGCTCACGGGCATCGGCACCGGCATTGTGGCCCTCACCGTCAGCGTATTCATCTCTGAGATATCCCCGGCCAACCTGCGGGGCCAGCTGAACACGGGGGCCAACCTCATCCTGTGTGGTGGTATTCTGGCCGTCTTCGTGCTCGGCAAGTTCCTGACCTTCTGGCTCCTGGCGGCCTGTTGTTTGATACCAGCGGCCGCCATGAGCGTCGCGTTGTTCTGGTGCCACGAGTCGCCCCGTTGGCTCCTCAAAAACAATCAACGACGCAGCGCGGCTGCAGCGCTGCGCTTTTACTTTGGTCCGGGTGCCGCGAGCGAGTTGGCCACATTAGAAGCTGCCCTGTCACATATGCACGGTGCCACAGGTTTATCGCTACGAGATATGACTTCGCGCCGCGTGTACCGGTCATTTCTGTGCGTCCTGCTCATCATGTCGATGCAGCAGCTCTCGGCCGTTTCCCTGATCATCACGTTCACTCAGGACATCTTCCAAGATGCCGGCACAACCGTGTCGCCCGAGGACGCTGCTATTATTCTGGCATTTATACAGGTGAGACTGCGATGGATCTGTAACGTTGACATCGCCACTCTTTATTTGTATGGCGGTTAGGTGAACCGGCTGATTGAACAAGTTCAGAATGCTATATGGCACCGAGGTGGAGTGTCTTTATTGTTTCGTTATCTGAATAATCTGCGCTTCTAAAGAAATAGACACGTTTTACTGAGAGCCACAGTAACTCGTGCAATGAATGAGAAAACAACCACGGCATTCGCTCGCCATGTTTTTGTGGTTAGCAGCGCTGTCATCAAATCAACACTCCTTAGCAGGCTGCGCCGCCTATGAAGTGATCGAGAGCTGAAGTTTGAGTGCACCTGTTTTAAGGAGATATAACACGATAAGTTAACTATGTTCATACTTTGACATATGCAAGAAGTGTTCATAAGAACTGAGTGGTTTATTTGTAACAGCGAGAAATTGCCAGATCAACCCATTCTGTCAGCGGAAAAGCACATTTGTGTCACTCGTGATCTCCTTTGACTCCAAACAATAAAGCTACTGTATACTATACTTCATCTAAGTTCTTATGCATCTGCAGTGACACGAAAACGTAGCTGATATAAACTTATGATTAGGATTGCTTGGCTCATTCAGTTTCAACTTATAAACACAATTCTATGTTTTTTTGCAGTAGTGTCCTAAAGGTAATACATACAGTGTATGTATTACCTTTACAATACAATACAATACAATACAATACAATACAAGCATCGGTAGCTGTGAGCAGTCAACAAATGCTGGGTGACATCTTAATAGCAATAAAAATGACGTAACATGCTCGGATAACAGTTTTCTGTCCAGTATAACATGTCCTTCTCTCGGTGTTTCAGATGGTGATGGTAGGAGTAGCCACCTTTCTTGCCGACCGCGTCGGTCGCAAAATTCTTCTCGTGTTTTCGACGATACTGTCATCGGTCTGTCTTGGCGCGCTCGGCCTGTCCTTCAGCTTGAAGGCAAGCGTGGGCGAGAGCTTCAAGGAGACCTATGGCTGGCTACCTTTGACAAGCCTCGGCCTCTTCTTTGTCGGCTACTCCGTGGGCCTGGGCCCGTTGCCCTGGGTACTACTTGGCGAGATGATTCCGCTGAAGGCCAGAGCGTTTGCAACGGGAACTTGCACAGCCATCTTGTTTGCCGAAGCCTTTGCTGTGACATTGAGCTACAACGGCATGCGTGCCATCCTGGGCGTAGCTGGAACGTTCTGGTTCTACGGAGCATCTCTTGTCATTTGTCTTGTTCTATTGCTTGTATTCGTCCCCGAGACAGGAGGAAAGGACCTAGAAGAAATTGAGAAATTGTTTGGCGGGACTTCATCCTCGCCACAAGAGTCAGGGGTGAAGAACAGAGATCAAAGTGTCGGCTAGTTACGCTTTTTTAAATATTTAGTTTGTGGAGATCACTACTCTGTTGACCCACCGACCCAAATGTGAATAAAGTATGAATGTATTTTGGTATTAATAATGCCTTTTTGCTGATATCTTTGGGAATCAAAAGGGTTTCAAAATCAAATACTTTGGCGTATTTTAAAGGATATCAGTGAACACTTGCATTGCTGTTGTTCCGTGGGGTGTACAGTCGGCGAAATCTACAGCTATCATGCATGAGTGGCAGTTTTTTTTCTGTATTTTTGCCGTACGACTGAATTAAGTTTCACTGGATACAAGGACAAGTGTATGCCCATAAAGCACATGTCCACGAAGCAATTTGTTGTAACTTCGTTTCATAATATGGCACTGACAGACAAAAAACTGACCGCGGCACACAATAGCTAAGTTTGGCCGACTGTACAACTGGGAAGGAAGAAAAATAACTTTGATTGCTGGACGTGTGTATCTATCGCATCGGGCACTGAAAATTGCAGCATGTGACTCTTTGTAAGCTTATGGACTTGTTCTTTGTGGTAGCCGTCGTGCGTTATTTAAATGAAGTCATGTTCGCTATTATCTATATTCCCACAGACTAGCAATGAAAATACAATTCAAATAGACATGTTACAAAGATTGTTGCATGGCGCATTAGACTTTAGTAACTCACGTTCTCCTTCACAAGTCTGTGACGTAGTTACTAAATCAACCACCATAGCAAGTAAATAAGATTATGACCCAAGGTGAGCATTTCAAGTTACCTTTTTCGACGCGAATAGCATTTAGGTGTTACAGCGTTTACATACTTGTTGTCGGAAACATGTTATTGATGCCTTTTGTAGCAAACTTGACTACAAAATACACGGAAGTAGGTAATAAGTATAGTTTTGCAGCGGTAATTTTTTTTACATATTCAAGCGCTTTTATAAAGACGTGATAATGGGCAAAAAGTGGTGCAGAAAACGCCCACCATGTAGTGCGTCTAATATTTCAACATTTCAAATTCAGTTTCAGGCACCAGATATTCCGCGTTTCGAAGTTAGGGGCAATGTTACATATGTGTAATTCCGACCATCACATAATTTTATTTTACACATTCCTGTGGAGGTACCCCAGATTGAGATATTAATCCAACAGCTTGAAAAATCGGCGTTGTGAGCACTTCATGAGATGGACTTTGACGTTTTGGAACCACCGTTCATGATCGCACGTATAAACGCAAAGGACAGTATACTCGTTTTTCACAGAAACAAGCGACAGTCACTACACTGAGGTTTAGTAAAAGAAATAAAGTCATGCTTTTGAAACTCTACTGAGATTGCCTTATACGCGAAGTGCTAGAGCACTCATTTTCGATGCACGAGGTATAGGGTTCGATTCCGCAAGGCCACCGTATACTAGATGGTTTCTCGAAAAGACAGATGCACCCAACCTGGGCGGTCGGATATGTATGCACACTAATCTGGAGAACCATCAGCGTAAATCATTAAAATAATGTAACTCGTCCAGTTTTCTCTCCTTAATCTTGTGCAGGTGTTTTTTTTTTATTCGTACTGCTTCATATTTCACTTCCCTGTCATTTAGCTATGGTGCATCAACAAACTAACATGTTTTCTCTTCTGACCTCAATGCACTTTCTCCCTCTGTAGTTGATGTTATACTTTAATTTGAATTTGAGGAGGGCTCTGTGAGGTTTTTGCGTGTTTGGCATTAATGTTTAGTCGTTTGTCGAAACCTTTCATAATGGCAGAAGTGTGCAATTAAAGACAGATGTTTCAGCAATATACACGTCAGTTGAGCTTGATGCTTTGGCCTATAACAAAGTATTATCATCCAGTAGTCTTTCAGAACGAATCCCCACCACTTGCAGGTAGCTATGTCGGACCTCATTAGAGTCCACATAACAGGCCCATTCATGGCGATTTCCGTAATGTACTTCATGTGTCTAACGTTGAAATTGCTGTGCGTTAATATCTTTATTCTTTTGATGACGTACTACCGCGGGGCCTATAGGTTGCAACGTTTTCTAGCTTCTGATGTTTCGTGAGGTAGTCTTGGTGTCATCGCCTAGTGGTTTGAAGTGCGGCGTGTGGCTGTGATGTACGTACGCCATATGTCGTGTACCACATGGGCGCCTCGCAATCCACGCGTTTTCATGCGCCGCGCTTGGAGTCCGGCCAAGCGGCTTTGCAAGTGCTGACAGGTGAGATAAGTTATTGCAGGAAGCACTCTAGGCGTTCTCAGAGTGGCTTGTCGTGCCTAGCAAATTTCTTGGCTCACGAAAATCATGACTCTTCGGGAAGTAGGAGTTCTTTTTTTCGTAACACCACGGGAGACACGAATTTACATGCGCTGCCTCGGCCGCCAACCTGGCGCCTTCTCCATTAAGGAGCACATTATTAGTCATTCAATGTCAATTTTTTTTGTTGCCTGCCATTACGCAACAACTGGCGACATGCAATACGCTATACTTAGCTCTATGTATTCAAGATCTGTCTGTGTACGTACCTGTAGTGCACAGAGCTTTGTTGTTTATTGAACAACCACGATCATACCATAGCGGTAATTAACAAATCTGTTTTTATGCCTGAAATAAACGACGCCAACACAGGGTACACTCATTGCTAAAGTACCGTTGCTTTTTTGTGTCGTAGTGCTAATGCGTCGCACATCGCAGAAAATCTCGAGAAAAAATGTTGAGAGCGAGTACGATCAAACAAAGTAGAAAAAAAAAACAATATAGCGTCATCCTATGCGCTCCTTTGCCCAATTACAGTGATGACTGTGAAATATACCCTTAGGCTTTATGGAAACTCAGCTGGAATCCTTGCACTCAATGGTTCCCAGCACGCACATGTAAAGCGTAGGTATGGTTTAGGGACAGCTTTCTTCTGTGATGGTCATTGCGTTTTAGTTTGTTGGCGCTACAGGTGCGCTATAGGCACCAACCGCTGACCAGAGGGAGCTGCGTTCCTGGCACTAATCACACCTATGTTCATTGACGTTGGCCGTTAGGGGCACGCAGAAAACAGACAGCGCCACGTCCACGTGTATCTCTTCTGCAATTCGCCCGCTCACGTGGGCAAGGAGAGGCGGGCATCACGTTCCATTTTGGCTGACCCCAACCTATTAATGTTTCTCGCATTACCGAAAAGATCAGCATGAGAGGGGAGCTTTGGCTTTCTGACAAACATGGCCACTGAGGGGTTCAGCATAAAGTAAGTTACACGTGCTGATCAACAAAATAAACCTTGACTTGTTTGATGGTGGTGGTTATAATGATATTGATACTAAACGTTGCAGTGTACAGGCACACAGAACTAGCTCCATGAAGGAGTTAATATTATTGACTTAGTGTTCAGGGAAAGCATTCCACGAGACACGTAATGCCGTTTTCTGTTCTAAAGCAATGCATTTTTGTTTGTTTTTGTCTTGTCGTCGTTGTTGTGAAGATAATAATAATAATAATAATAATAATAATAATAATAATAATAATAATAATAATAATAATAATAATAATAATAATAATAATAATAATAATAATAATAATAATAATAATACCACGCTTATTGTATTTCCAATTTTTGGGTTGTGCTGTCTTCATCACAATAAAAAATATTTTCTGTATAAAGATTTTTTTAGCTCCTCAAGCCCCATCCCCTGAACTTGGACAACTGTCTTACATGGACATCATCATAATCATGATAATTTAGATATGTGAGATCGTTGCTGGTCGCCGCTCCAATCCATCATTTCTGCCCGGTTTTAACAGCTTGTGCTGGTCATGCGGTTTTGAGCTGGAGAACTGATGCCTGCAAACGCTTGATACGGTGCTAGGACGGGATATCATATTACGTAGCGTACACTGCATTGCGCAAAATATGCCAAATTTATGGGCTAGTTGGCTTTCATTTGAGTAAATTTTAGCTGTGAGAACAAGGCTAGGACTCGGAAAGGCGCATAAAACACACCACGGTGATCTAGTGCATGATTATAGCACTGGGAAACTGACCTGCAGGACGTGGGATCGAATCATGGCTTGCGGCCGCATTTTAGAGGGACGCGAATCTGCTAGAGGAGAGTGTACTTATTTTTAGGTGCACGTTAAAGAACCACAGGTGGTCGATGTTTAAGGAGCCCTTCGCTACGTCGTCATAATTACATGATGGTTTTGGGATGTGAAACGCAAAAAAATTATTGATAAAAGTACATACCCGCTGCTAGTACAGAAAATTAGCTATCCAACCCTATACATCCTTCGTGGATATTTCTTCTTTCCCGCGTTCTTTTCGCTGAGGAAATGTATTCAAGTCAAAATATGCTTGTGTACACATTAGCGGAGTAATACACGGTTTGTGAGCGTCTCCAACTTGTATATGTGTTCGCACCTGTAGTTAATATTTGGGAAGAGGATGGTTAAGCAAAAAGCCGGAACATGAGTATGTTAGTTGTTTACAACTTAAGTCAAATAAATTGCTATGTGCAATTAATTTGACATTTTCTAAACTAGGCCTATTGTTTCCTTTTTGTTTATTTTTGTAGCGCAGCTCATATGCGCTCGTTTCTGCGTTGAGTGGCGTCGCCGTTGTCGGCGTTGTCGATGAAGAGATCGAGGGTGAAAGAGTGAATGTCCCAAGGAGTTTTCCCATCATGAGAGCCGGCGAGCCGCTATGTTAGTGTCTGCATTGTCTCGTGCTCTCTCGCGCTTCTTTTGACAGTGCAACGCACTCCTACACATATGCCGCACGAGAAAGTTGGTCGATCTTCGAGGCTTTGTACAACATGACGGGCGTTGATCGAAGTGGCACTTTGTGCGTGAAGCGTTCTTGCGTACGCTCAAAGGAACCCTAAAGAGAGACAATGACTTCGTCTAAATCGACGAGCTTCACTTTGAGAACTCTAATTGCTTATGTTTAACTTTCGTAAGTTCATTATTAGCGGAGAAAATCAAGGTTCATATTTAAATTTTGGGCCGAAATATCCGTGCGTAAGAATTTTGAAAATCTATTTTTCGTACTTACGCCACACTGACTCCAGGAAAATTTTTCATACTTCGCGGGCTATGCCTATGGCACTCACAGATGACAATGTACTTCATTTGTTGCGATTGGAAGCGACGTGAGGTGCAGTGGACGCCTTCAAAGTATCTTACGTGACAGTGCTTGGTGCAGGAATCTGAAAATGGCGCCACCACCCACATTTTTTTTGTGCGTTTTCTCGCTTACTATAGCATCGTGTAGTGGTAAGAGTAATGTTTTCGGGATCGCGAAATTTTACTCTACTAATGCGCAAGAAATTGTTTTGCCCTTCAGTGTCTTTCAACCAGTGGCGGTGGCAGTTGCCAGCGTCAGGTTCACCACGTTATACGTTGACGCCAAAACCGAGCATTCCATACATCCACTCGCGCCACTTTTCGTCGCCTTTGTGCATACGCATTTGCTCAGCTTATCGCGAAATCGACACACCTAAGTAGCTGCACTCTTAACTCGCACTAAGCATTATCGTAACCATCGGTGATTTTGTGTGTGTGTGTGTGGGAGCACACTGCATAAGCGTCTGTTGCGCTTACGTGTATTGCTTTAGTCTAAAACTTCCTTTTTGGAAAGAAGTGTGCGTCCTGTTTCGTTTCGGAACAATTAATAAAGCTGTATGTGAAAATGTTTCAGGCGTGGTCCGTATGTACCCTTAACATGGGGGATCATTCGAGCACGTACTATCATGACAGCTGCTTCGCAGAACCATAATAGTACCGAGAGGTTTCTCCTGCAGCATATTATATTATGTGATCTATTAGCGCGTTTGCCAGGCGTTCGTTCGACGTGATTGGCTTACTCGGGTTTATTAGAAGATTTTCCGTGTCCCGCGAATGCACAGAAATCTTGATGAAGTCAGGTTTTTTTCCACATCTCCCATTTTATATTCGCCACAGCGCCCCTCTTCATCGCTAAGAAAAAACTTACGCTTGTGGACTTGTGCCTTGATTTCACAACACCGGCTCATGTCTTCAAGATATCAAAAGTGCAGCACGAAGAACCGTGGAAAGCAATACACAGTTTACTGCCCAGATAAGCGTCACCGGCTGCCGGAATAACAAAGCGGTATGGCGTTTGCACGTATCTGATGCTCACTCGTCCTGTTCTAAGAACTCGCGCGAAAAAGGCGCCGTACTGTGGCCCAAGCAAAGGTGATAAATGTGCCTCATGTGGAGACCCCCGTGAAAGACTTCCTTCTTAGTGATGCTGCGGGTCGACTTTTATTGAGCCATTTTTGCCCCTTCTTTCTCTTATCTCCGCTGAACAGTGAGCGTGGGCACCCGTTCCAAACACGCTTGCGCTGCATTCGCTTGGATTATGACAAGTCTTGGACGTCGCGTGTATTGCGCGAGGTGGCAGTAAATGTTGTGAGGGGAGATGCAGCGATATTAAAGGGAAAGGAAGCGTTTCGGAAAGGCTGTAAGACAGAGAGCGAGAGAGCAGCGATGGCCCAAGGGCTCGACGTGGTCGGTGTGCCTCTGGATCGCGTGGGAAAGGAGGCTGGTCATTTGTATGCAACCTTGAGGAAAGCGAAGCGCTTCTCGCAGCTCCTTCCTTGCAATCCGTTCTCGCTTGAAGGCGGCGCACCAAGTCTGCCGCTTGTACCGACTTGGACACGGCGAGCAATAACTCGCCGCCGCCGGATACAAGGACAGATCCGCGAAGCGACACCGTACGGTGGTGGCGCTGGCAAACAAAAATACACTTTGGCGTCGCGCGTAGCTGCGTTAAGTGGCGTCGGAGCGATTCGCGATCAGGCAAGGGTGAGCCAAGTAGTGCGATTTTGGATGTTCGCGCAACGTCACCGCGGCAGCCTGTTTATTGTTATTTTCAGTTTCCCGTTTCGCCGTTATTTCCCAACTCTCTGCTGCAATTTTCTTCTCGCACTTTCGCGCATTTGTTTTTGTTTTTGTCCAGGCCTCTCCTCTGTAAGCTGAGCCATCGCGAGACTGAGGACATCTCCTTTCCTGAATTACTTCTCGTCGTCTTTTCTCTCTCTCTCTCTGTAACTACCGGCACGTGACGGAATCTGTCGCGACAGACGGGTGGGTTTGCGTACGACAATCCGCGTCCGGACGAGCCCAGCGTAAACGAATAGGACTCGCGAAGGAATCGAAAGGAAAAGAGAAAACTGGGGGTTGCGACCGTATGAAAGAAGATATCAAGGACTGACGTACGCGCGATTCTCTCCGGCTGAGTCGGCCACTCGAGACGGATCTGTCTCGGCGAAGAGTGTGGTGTATCTTTTTCTTCTATCTGCCACCACGTGCGTGGTTGTTGCCGGTGAAATCTGAGACTACGGGTCATTGCCGACCGTCGGGCTGTCACCGGAGGTCGTCGTCTAGTGCCCTATATTTTTTCGCTGCTCATCGCCCCAGTCTTCGCGGGAAATTAGTTTCCTCGCACCGGCTTGGAGAGACTGAGGTAAGCTGTGTTTTTCGCCTTCTACGCCAACTCATCAATTGCGCATTGTTCTTTTTTTATAGCAAGACAATGTGAACTGAAATTTCAAAGATGCAGCCTGCCCAGATGATAATACATTTAATTGTATAGAAGTTACGTTACTAATTTCACGTGAAGAGAGATAGGCATTTTATGACAGACACTCGCAACGCGGCTGTTCGAAGTCCCGAAGTGTTGACGGTGACGGCTGCGTTTGGCGCCTTTCATGTAAACGTCGTAATAATGAGATTTTCGCTGGAGGTGAAAATGCTGTGGGCCCACGGGCTCAGATTTGGGTGCATGTTAAACAACTTCGGGTGGTCGAAATTTCCGGAATCCCTCCACTACGGCATTCGTCATGATTGTATGGTGGTTTTGAAGCGTTAAACCTCACATATCAATCAATCGTAGTAATAAGAAAACTAGACCGGACATTGTGCACGACAAAAACTGTTGCTTAAGGGGATGCTGAGTTTTGACTTGATTGAAAACTTGAAACAGCCGGAAACTGGACGATGCTAATCCTGCAGCATAATCTGCGTGATGTTGCTTCTAGGTTTCTGCTAAGCTGTGGCTAGGTTAACTAAGTTGCTTCTAGGTTGATTCTGAGTGCAGAGAGGTTCGAGTTGAACCGCAGGCAGTCACGACACGGATGTGCAAACTCTACACACAGACAATCTCGCCGAAACAGAGCGTTTGCTACTCTCGTAGAATCAACGGGTACGTCGTAGTTTACGTAGGTCTTCCATCTCTTCGGGGTTTTCTCACTGCTGCCGTTACCTTTTACGTTTCTTATAGTATTCCCTCGCTTCGAAGTCTTCAGCTCGCCACCGCCAATTCCTGGGCTAACGTTTTCTTTATTGATTTCCCGTACACCAGTGATGAGTAGTGACATCTGTCCAGTTCCTGCGGTACGTGCCCGTTCGTGATAACGAGAATTTTCTGGTGGCAATGTACATGTTATGGTCGACTACAACAGCTTTGGTGTTGAATGTATTGCCCGTCAATAAGTTAAGCAATACCATATGGCTTTTTTTAAAATTTCATAATGAGATCCTTAAATGCATTTTCTACGAATTTCTTTCGATGCCTATTCATTCGATTGATTCGGTAAACGAAATCTATCTTACCTCCCATAAACATGTGTTTTTACGATGCATGTTTTTTTTTGGAGTAAATCCATTCGCTTGCTTCGATAGCATAACTATTCATGTTTAGTTTATGCCCTTACAAGACACTCAGTCACGAGTGTTATTTGACAGTGAGAAGGTCAGTGGTATGACCTGTCGATAGTGGCATGACCTAGTCATAAGAGCACTGTTGTGTGAAAACTAGATAAGATAAAAGTAGGGGTAGAGCTACATATCCATTTAGTAGCCTGACGACTGACATACGAAATGGGAAATAAAAGAGACGAAAAGGACGCTGCAGGTTGTAGAGAACGATTTTCTCGCTTCCGCTTTCGCCAGTGGTTGTGACGTTGGTACGGATTTTGTTCTTACGCTCAATTAGACACTTACACAGTTCCCTGTGCATCGCGGTCCGAAAGCGTCGTTTAATATGGGCATTACCATCAAAATGTTTAACACTTCATTTCTTCCCTGAACATTTCAGTATGGCATGCCAGCATCCGTTATTATGCTACAGAAACGTCCGCAGCAGCTTGCAATGAGAGCAACGATGTTTTCTCGACCTTACTTGTATTGTCCGACATCGGATACGTCGTTGCCTCCACCACCGTCGCCATCGTCATTATCATCATGCAGACTACGCCTATTGCATGCAGGAAAAAGGCCTCTCCAATATTCCGCAATCACCCCTATCCAGTGCTTGATGCTGACACGTTTTCCTTGTAGATATCTTATCTGCCCGCTTAACATTAAGCCTCCTCATCGTGCGTTCACCTCTTCTTGGGGTCCAGTGAATTACTATAATTGACCAGCGGTTATGTTCCATGTATGCTCTACATGCCTTAGCCATGTACATTTCTTCTTTTGATCTCGACTAAGACATTATGAAAACTCATTTAACTCATTTGTTCTCTGATGCACTCTGCTTTCTCAATGTCATTTAGTATACAATTTTAATTTTCCTTTGTGTTGTTCGCGGCGTCATCCTGAGTTTAAGTTGAACCCTCCTTCTTAGTTTAATACGCATAAAACTAATGTAATATGTAACAGTTTTGTAGGAGAACAGCGCTTTGCAATAGATAGTGCAACACTGGAAGTTGCACTGAAGTACGAATATTTCGGCCATTAAATTGAAGTAACTAGAAGATCAGACTTTGGATGCAGCACATTCAGCAAACATTCTGAAATCATGAATGGCAGTTTATTCCTATCACTCAAGAGGATAGTTATATAACAGCGGCATCTATATAGTGATACTTAAATACAGAGCAGAAAACCAGAAGTTCAGAAACATCACACTCATTATTTTATTATCAATCACGCTTAGCTACTTGCATTACATAATAATAACTTCCCCTATACTTTTCTTGGCGTTATTGTCTGTTATATATCAATAATATTGTGTCAAACACGAGAAAAAGAGCCCTTAAGTATGCACTTCTTTCCTTAATTCATTAACGAAGGTCGCGTACTGGCAGACTTGGCGCCTTTAGGATGTATACGAGGGACTATTGGTCAGCTGCCAGTTAGTAATAAGCTCACGTGCTACGTGACGCCAAACAGGCTCATAAAGAGTGTGCCACACTCGATGGCCGCCATGGCTACTGGTGGCGCTGACTTCCACTTCCACGTTTGATTCCTCCATCCAATAAAGTGGGTGGAGGGATTGCCGCCGTGGTAGCTCAGGTGGTAGAGCATCGAACGCGTTATTTATTCGGAGGTTGCAGGTTGGGTTACTGCCCACGGCAAGTTATCTTTTCATCCACTTTTTGTTTGTTCACATTTACATAACCGTTTGGTTTAATACCTTCCCCTATACTATCTTGGCATTATTGTCTGTATATATCATCATAATTATTGTGTCAAACACAAAAAACGAGCCCTCAAGTATATATATATATATATATATATATATATATATATATATATATATATATATATATATATATATATATATATATATATATATATATATATATATATATATATATATATATATATATATATATATATATATATATATATATTACAAAACGATGAATGACTCTGTGCTCGACGACGGCACTAGGAATGATTAACGAGTAGCCTCGACGACTGTGTAGTACGACGCATCGCGAGCGTCACAGAATACTCACCGAAACAGTCGTCGTAGGCACACGTCAGTTCCGTTCCCGCCTCGACCATCGTAACGATCATTGAGGGGCTGACGTCATTCTGTAGTTTAGGCATCCACAAACCTTTCTGGGGTTTCGATTTTCTGTACATGCAAACGTTACGTCAGATACACGAACTTGCGAATGTATACATAAAAGAAGGTGCGGTGGTTACTCAGGTATACTTAAAAAAAAGTATACTAGTGTGTGTTGCTCTTTTCGGTGAGCTCTGCTTCGTCACTTGTCATTCAAGAGATGCGTTAACTCTCTTTCGTCTCCCAGGACTCTCCGAAAGGAGTATAATATTCTCCAATGAGAGTTGATGCGTATCTTCAAAGAGAGTCATATGTGCGGTAATGCAGATCTCACAAAGGGTGTCAGATGACTCTTTTCTTTTCTTGGAGTTAACGTGGGGATTTTCCAATTTATATGTGCAAGAATGCCGATAACATTGCGTGCGGGAATGACTATTTGTAGAGTTCTTGCTTACTGGATCTTTCTATATTCTAATGGCAAAGAAAACAAGAAAGAAAGACTTGTTATTATAGAAGCTTTTTTACCCACAGCTAGCGTAATCTGAGTGATTCACCATTTTCCATTCTATGATGTATCGTGTGGCAAGCAACTCTACGTATAACGCGGGCTAACCGGAATCCGCATAACCAGTACCACGAACGCTCCTTCCCTGTACAGGTCTTTGCCCCTTACCTGGAGACATTGTGACAGAACTCAAAGTTTATTCGCTACACGCATGAGCAAATATACATAGGTGTGCGCCGGGTTTTTCATTAGAGGGGTGGGGAGAGGGGTGTGGTGGTGAGAAGTTTTACCGCGATACATCCAGTGCTTCAGTGGAAAAAAGGAGCAAACCTCCCTCCCCTCTGCTTCAAGCACAAGAGGCACAAACGAATTGTAAAGATACAAACGACACGAAAAGACACAAACGCAATGCCAAGAGAAGTGTGTGTAGTTGAGCTTGTTCGTACATAGTGCGTAAAACGGCACGAAACAACAACGCTGGTGTTGGAAGACAGCGCTAGTCCTGTTCGCTAGTTTTAGTCTGTTTTCTTGGAGGTTTTTTCTACTGTAGCGATGCATCGGGAGGCTGGGGAGGGGTATTTTGTGCTCCTGCTTATGCCTACATGTACTCGATGCGATGTAAGTCACACACATAAAATGCCTTGATAAATGACTTCATGAAAATTTTTGTCTCAAAAGAAGGCAGGGAAATAAAAAAAAGACAACAAAAGTTTCATGTTACAAACTTAAGAAATGTATGATAAGACATAGCTTATTTTTATAGCAGAGGCGTTATACGACTTTTAAAAGTAGCGAGGTCATAAAAGATTAAGTTGTATATATCGAAATTGCGAAAGCGGGTACGTTAGAGCAGAATGAAATGTAGCAGAATTAAATCATAATAAACGCAAACAAAAACATTTTAAAATGACAATTGTTAAAGTTAATTGTCCCAAAACTATCATATAATTATGAGAAAGGCCGCCAGAAATTCTGACCACCTGGAGTTCTTCAACGTGTGGCCAAATCTGAAAACACAGGCTTCAAGCATTTTTGACTCTATCGAAAAAGCGGCCGGAATTCGATCCCGTGACCTGCGGGTCAGTAGCAGAGTGCCTTAGCCACTAGACCACCGCGACGGGTATAATAACATTATAAAACAGAGAGATAACTTATACGTTTTTGATAAGGTAAACTTGTAATATGTTGTGAAGGCGCAAGGTATAGGTAAAACTTAAAGCATATGTAATGATTATTCATTACCACACAATGAGCCCTAACTTGAAATGCAGAGGCAGGACTCCTGCGTTACTCATATTTATTGTTTTTCTTTCTCTTTCTTACAGACCTTTTGAACAATGGCGATGCCATACGCCTTTCACGGCGTCCTGATACTGCTTGCGTTAGGATGTTGTAGCGCTCAGCAGCTGGGAATCCTAACCAATCCGCTGGGTTCGCTCACCAACACGGGCTCCCGTCTTAACGTGGTGAACTTGGGCACGCGAGCCTGGGACCAAACGTTCGGAAAGATTACCAACACTTCGGCATCGGATATCAGCAAGCAGCTGACTGAGAAGTGAGTAGGCCTCCCATTCGCTTATTCAGGTTCATGTTTTATTAAATATCAACGAAATTATTTGACAGAAAAGTGTGCACAAGATTGATAATATACCAAACTTGTACTCACCAATAAGCTCCAAAGTTAGAAACTGTCGCAGGTGAGCATATTCGGTGAGCACTTCGGTGTGAACGATGATAATGGGTGAAGGAGAGGAATATTGTTCTAGAGGCAGGAAGAATTTGTTTTAAGAGGACTGAAGAGCTTTGATTTCCAAAGCTTTCGTGCGAAAAATAACTTCTTTTTTTTTAACCCTTAGTGCATCTCGCGTGCTTTCACGAAGCGAAGTTTCGATATTCAAACTGTAATGGATCGTGTATTGTAACATGTCAGCATACGTGATGCTACCGGAGAAATATTACATGAAAGTAGTCTATGCATCATTTCATAATACACTCACGACGCTGACACACCTGTGGGAGTACGTGCAAGTTGATCGTTACCTCTCGGTCTTGAAAATGGGCAGTTCAAAGAAGCGACCTCCGCCAGTAAGGCGCGCGTCTGACTGAAAAGAACGCCGGCGAAACTCACCCTTCTTACATATAGTGAGAACTCGCTCTAAATTCACCGACCTTAATCGTGGGAGATGGTACTGGAAATCTGGTCGTAGTCTTCGTTGTTCTTTTAGACCAGACGCAGTTGTAATGGGACAGTAATCCAAGAGTCTTCGGAAACCTTAGTGACAAAGGAGCGATTTTATTCTGTGGCTTTGTAAAGTCAATTTAATAAGATATCTTAAGGTTGATTTCAGATTGATGCATGCCTGAAGGTTTATCACGTGCCGGGATCTTCTTAATATTGAGTGTAATCTAGGGCTGGGTGGCGTGGCTTCACGTGATCTTTTTACTTTTTTATTGTCAGTTTGATTCAACATGCCAGCACTCACCTACACTCGCTTCTTTTGTTCTTGAACCAACTATTCAAGTCGACACACAAATGAGTCGCAGTAGTTTTTCTGAGTCTTCTGGGCATTCGCACCACGTGTACTTGACAGGGCTTTTTTTTAAAACTGTTTACTAAAGTTGTTTGCTCGTCGAGGCCTCGCTAGGTGACATGCAAGGCTATGAAATAATTCAATGGACTGAATAGTTTTTTCTTGCCTGTTATACTTATTTGAGCACGAAAGCTTACTTTTAATCATTGTGCATATTTTACATAACGAAGTACGTGCATTGTTTATATAGTACTTGTTTTCATGACGGTTGAACATTGCAGTGCCATCCCGGGAGTCCGTCATCGAGTGATCACCGATGTGCCTCTGGGAGGACACGTACTCGCTGAAATCTTCCAGAATTCTTCCGGTCATGTTATCGACTGCAACCTGCTCGGTGACAAGTAAGTGACGCATATGCAAGTCTATCAGCGCCGTATTTACTCGAAAACAGTTGCTGAAGCAAATGGCAAAACACTTTCTCTTAGTAAGTGCCATGGTACGTGTAGTGATCACGACGCTGGACTGCCGACCAGAAGGTCGCGGTTTCGATCCCGGCAATGGCAGCCACATTTCAATGCAGGCAGAATGACATAGATCAGTTTACATCTGGATGTCAGTGCGAGTTAACGAACACCAGATGGAGAAAATCTCCGGAAGTTTCTATAGCAGCATTTGTCATGTAGTGATAAAATGTACGACAATGCGAATGTAAAACCACAACAACTATTATAAGTATTATCTTCTACAGTAAGTGAGAATCGACCGGAAGCTTGATAAGCGGGCAATTGAAAAGAACAGGAAAAATAACGGTGACAAAATCACTATTTCATAATAAAGTATTAGTGGCATCTTTGCACTTTTACATGGTGTAATGCCTCTCAGATTCGTATTGTCATAAGGTATCAGGTATATAAAATAACCTGACCGGTTTTACCTGCCATCCCACGTAGTGAGTGTAAAGCATGGCGTATTAATATCTTAGGGTTTAACTTTTACAGGTTTGATGTTTCACGGGGTCTAAAACTTTTGTGCATATCTTTTTTGCATTACCATCGGCTCTAATCTAACGAGGCGGGTTTCACGAATGTGAAGTTTTGTAGTTTTGTTCGTGAAACCATTTAATCGCCCGCACAGAGATGTGTCAAGTAATTTTTCTCCTATTACCGGTGAACAAGGTTCAGTGTTATGTTCAACGAAACACTTTTTAAAGTGCAAGACTGGCGGGTCAAGTTGTCATTATTTTTGAAGTGCGCATGTAGTCTTCTGACCAATGCTTCAATAATGACTGGCCACGATGTTTTTCACACCTAGGGTCCTGATTGAAGGCGTTCTCGTCGTCCTGCCTGAAAGCCTAATAACGAAGGTGACGCCCGAGGAAATGGATCAATTTCTGGACCTATGCGGAACGCGGGAGAACTTTGCCAGCAAGCAGAAATCTGCGTTTGACTACATCGGCGATATATTCAAGAGTTTGTTCATATTCCCAGGTATCTAACTCGTTCGTCGCCCTACTCAAGTCGTCGTTGTTTAAAGAAAGTGTGAGAAGAAGCTGTTTCCGTTGCATAGGAATGTTTATCGTCATAATGTCTGCTTTATTGTACTCATTATTCCACATGACTTTCATATTGCTGTACTTGAAAAAGGTTTTTTTACGCTCTTAACAACCGTATGTGGTGCTGGCCAGTGGCATAAAAGACCTACAGCGAAATCGGGGCGCTCTTGGTGAAAGTGTGGGGCCCCACCAAGCACTCGAGAGTAGAGCCAGCATAGCTTCCCAGTGAACCATGTCACTCCACGGAGTCGGTGCAGTAGTGACGTATATCGCATGTTCCGTCACAGGAAAACGTCGATGCCATCAGAACGGTTGATGGAGTAACTTTCTCGAAGCCTCTGGTACAGTTTGTGAATGGGAAAGCAATGACGTGCGTCATTCATAAAAGTGGAACTATAGTATATACAGTGACTGTCACACAAGCACCGGGTGCTATGGTTCAGTGGTTGAAACGAAGTCAGTATTAGGATTACGGAAACTTAACACTATATGCTGTGAATAAGATCAACAAAGATATTCTTCTCCTCTTTAAGGCCTCAGATATTGCTTAAAACGTAAAACAAAAAAAAAAAACGATCTGGTAACTTTGAAGGTCAGCAAATGTGGCGAGGGTTTGGTGATTGTAGTATTGATTTTCTAAAGAATGGTAGGCAGCAAGAACCTACGAATTGGGTTCTTTTGAAGTAGCACTGAATGATAATAAACTTCACTTTGCTGTGACAGATAGGAAAAAGAAACAAGTCTATATACCATGGGAAAGCGTTGTGTTGCAAATCGCTTGCTGTTATTTTTACATGTTTTCTCGTTATTGCACAGATTCCAGGCACAAAATGGTGCGGAGCTGGCGATGTAGCCAAGAACTACGATGACCTGGGACCGTCCAGGGCCACCGACGCCTGCTGCCGGGAGCATGACCACTCCGAGGACAACATCCCGGCTTTTCAGGCTAAATACGGCATTAGAAACACGAACCTCTACACTATGTGCGTAACTGTAGTTAACCGCCATTGTAGCTTTCTCATTATACAGTGGGGTTTGGTCTGTCTGTCTCTAGTAATGCGATGCAGTAGCCAGTGCAAAAATACAAAGAAATGATTTAACCGTAATCTACTCCGGTGAAGATTGTGTGCATAAGATAAAACAAAAACTGTTGTCTGATATTTAGACGGACTTGGTGCTTGTTTGAGATAGGTCACGCAGGATTCAACATTGTTTATTCATGTTATTTTTATTTCAGTGTTATATATGCAATATTGAACATCGTTTTATTGCAGGACTCACTGCAAGGGGGACCGGATGTTCTACGGCTGCCTTCTGAATGACAGCAGTATCGCATCAGTCACCGTGGGGAAAATATTCTTCAACATTCTGCGGACCAAGTGCTTTGACTACACATATCCCAAGAAGTGTGTTCAGAACAATGCGTAAGTACTCGTAATATATAGAGAGAAACCAGCGAGACTGTGAAATTAGCTGAAATTTCACTGCCGTAGCTACACATCTAGCTTGTGGTGTGCGCGTGTACGAAAGTTTTTTTTTTTTGATCATAACTGTAGGAATTCGTGTCAATTCGTAATGCACGAATCATAATTGTCGGGGCAAGTAAGGCAATCTCGAGGATGATAAAGCTGTGTGCGTGGCAGCAGTAGTACTGATGGCTTTGCAGCGAGCAGGACTAGCTTGGCGTGCTAAGTATTTGCACGTGAACACCTAATTGAATATGGTTAGCAAAGGTGTTTCACAAGACTTTGAATCAACTGCGTACCTGTCTCGAAGAAAGAGAGTCAGCGATCATGCATGTCTTTTTCTCTCTAACTACTCTAGCTGCTAAGAGAACACCATATACTTATTCGAATCTCGCTCAACTGCCTGTTTCGTGTCATTCGCAATTCAATAAAAACAAAAAGCTGGAAACACGGAAAACATAGAAAGAAATCAACGGGCTTCTCTGCGATTCGTGCTTCACGCTGTTTTTGCTAAAATCAACGTGTACCAACTATAGTCCAATTCATTGTCTTGGTACCTTTACAACCAGTATCTTACACAGCTTGGTTACAGCTTCTCTTCTGTTTTAATATTCTTACATGGTTCTTTGTTGTTATTTAGTTAATCTGACTGAGACCACGAGTGGCATGATTGAGGCTTTTCGTTTGTGAGAAGCGTTTGCAACTGGCCCATATCTCATTCACTGATAACACGTGCAACAGTGCGATTGACAGCCACTTCTTGCATAATTTTTTTATGAGAAGGTTTATGCATGATAACAAAGCTAGCGAAAAATATCAAGGAGCAAGAACAAGGGCACATCAGTGCGACCCTAAGTAACAATTATCAAATCGTCCCTTGTATAAGAGAGAGAGGGAGATACTTAATTTACAGAAAAGCAGAGAGTTCGGCCTGGGCATAAGTTCTCTCTGGCTGTGCTTGACACGTAAACTATCAGGAATATGTATACATGCACTCACTGGTGTGATAAATACCACAAGTACGACAAGTGCGACAAGTGCGAAAGAGCATTCCCCTCATTAAAGTAATGGATCTTACAAAACTAGTTGAAGGTGCTTAGCTTGAGAAAGCATACTTGCTGTACTGTGCCGGTCACTATCTGCGAGTGTCTGTTTAAGACGTGTCGTTTTTCCTGAACGACTTTATGAGATAATATTTACAAAAAATAAGAAATCCCCAAGCGCAAGTGAGGTTTTATGATGTAAAACAAACATATTCGTTTGTAAAAACTTCTCAGTAGCTCGTCTTTCTATCTTGTATACTCATATCAACAGAACTCATTCTATTGCGAATTCGTATATAGCGTAGGAGGTGCGCTCTACCATTTAAAATCAGCGCCTATGTTAGGACTCATCGCGGTGGGAAAAACAGTGCTATTACCTGCGGGTTACGTTAATTTACTGTTAACTTACAGCGTTCCTTCCTGAAGCGTCAAATATCCAATTATTAACCCTTCCGCCACATTTCGAATTTCCGCAGTAATCATTTTAGTATTCCTTTAACCGGTTTTATCTCGCGCTGCCACTGGCTAGCATGCTGCTTAGCTCTATTGCTAGAGCGACCGCCTATGAAAGGCTTTGCTCCATAGTTCGATGCCCTGACCCGAACGAATCTTCCTTCAACAAGAGACTTTCATTTCAGAGAAATCCACACAGATTTCCTCTAACATTTACACGAATGGGTCGTTGCCTACTATTCAATTCAGCGTTCTTTCCTGTGCTTTCCAGGTTCTACATCCCTCTAGTAACTGAGAAGTGCAGTGAATACAGGCTGGATCCGGCCGAACAGAAACAGTGGCAGACCTTCTCACCCCCCAATTTCTGGAAGGACTACTTGGCCCGCAAAAAGGAGCAGTCCAACCAGGGCAAACAACCAGTCAGCCCTCCCACTCCGGGACAGGATGGCGGCACTGTGCCTGTTACCACGGAGGAGCCCGAGGAAGAACCGGAGGAGGAACCCATTGTGGATGCCGAACCCGACAACTGGCAGAAGCTGGACCCTGCCGACTACAGCCTCGACGCGACTGAGGAACCCGTGTTCGAAGAGACGACGCCCAAACCGGCAGCTCCGCGTTCGTCAGGATCGAGGCGTACAGGATTGAACCTCGGGGGTCTTAACGTTGGGTGAAAGTATGGACGCACACTGCAGCGTAATAACTTTGTCACTCTAAGAAAAGTTTGCACTCGTTTGGAGCCTGCATTGTCTCTAACGAAAGATCATAATCTATGTTGCCTGTTTTCCCTTTGATTATCGCTACCTGTCTAGCCCATCTTCACCCTAAATGACTTACGTGTTGTCACCGTCGTGCAATATATCGCCTCGATTAAAAATCAATCGTACGCAGATTTTTAAAGAAATGCACAAACAAGCCAGATGTTGTATGCAGTTTGGGGACGCTATACCGCGCATATGGTGCAAACTTTCGTTAGAGTGTCATGTCTTGTTATTGATCACTTGGCTCCTAACTACGCAACTAAGCAACTGCATAATGGTCCGGCTGCTGTGGGCTAAGAAACTGCCACATGTCATCGCTACGAGAGTCACCTGTAAAACAAAAATATTCCAAGATGCGCGTTTAGCTTGATAGCGGCTGAATGTATATATTAGTAACGCACTGAATAAGTGTTAGATGATGAAGTCAGAGACGTTTGAAGAATAAACTTTGATACATGATGTCTTTTGTATACTCTTTTTTGGTCGCACGGTGCAAATATTTTTTTGTATCGTAAGCGAAGTGTCCGAGGTTGAGTAGTTTTGCGTGGCTTACGGTGAGTGGTTTTACGCAAGCGCGAGGAGCAGTGACGTCACAGGCACACAGCTGGCGCTCCGAAGGCCTACGGGGCTTACGCTTGACTCGCGTGAGATCACTCACTTGATCGCCCGCCCGTGCGTCCGTCCGTAGCTCACGCTACGTACATCCTGGCATAGCCTAGCTAAGCCACTGCTATTTTTTGCCCAAAACATTTCATTGTAATGAAGTGAACGTAATCATGCACACAAAACACTCACTTCAAGGCCTCGCCAGTGGTGGTCTAGTTGCTAAGATACTCGGTTGCTGACCCACAGGGCGCGGGATGGAATCTATGCTGTGGCGACTGTATTTTTGAAGGAAGCGAAAATGTTTTGAGGCCAGTGTGCTTAGATTTAGGTGGACGTTCAAGAATCCCACGTGGTCGAATATTTCCGGAGCCCTCCGACTACAGGCGTCTCTCATAATCATACGATGGTTTTGTGACGTTAAACCCCACATATCAAATGAAAATCACTCCCCTTAAATAAGAATGGGTCTACACACCTATACTTGTGATTACCCGTGATATTTTTAGTTTTAAGACTAGAATGAAACCTGTTGCTGGGAACTTCCTATCCGCTGACTCTTCTATTTCGTCCGACGGTTGACACGTCACTTTATTTGATGGACGTTTCTATATGACTGCGTAGTTGGCATGACTGCGTGGTTGGCATGACTGCGTTGTTCCAGTTTTGGCAATCGCAATGTGGTGTAGCTGGCTCTGCCGTAAAGTAAGTGTTATTGGTATTCTTTTTTTACTATGAACATGTTAGGGGCAGACCAACGCCAATTAAAAATGGGACATAAGACGGCACACGCCAGTGCCTTATGCTCCGTAAACAGCGAGAAATCATATGTTCCAATACTCCCGGTAGACTCTCTGCACTAGTTCTACATATCACATGCCCCTATGCCGGATATTCCTAGGATTGTGAATTGCAACAAGCAAGTTGTGTTGTTTAGAGTAAAATAATGGCACTGTGTTGGTATAGATTTGTAAAAGTAGTAACCAAACATGCAGTATGTTTTGGTTGCGAGAAGGCTGAAGTCATCGTCAACAAGCCACTATCAAAACTTCTTCATTGATTTGTATGAAATCTGCAAGCCCCAAGAGCTTTAGTCTCGGGAAGTGGGACGTTTACAAACATTTTAAACGTTCTTTTTTATTTTGGAAAAAAAAACAAAATTTAGAATTTTTCGCTACTGTCAAATTGATTAATGCAGTTTGAAAGCCTGGATAACGGGGAAGTTGTCTAGAAATAATCTACAATTTTCCAAAATTTAAGTTCAAATGATGCAGGCACTCATTCAGGTGCGCTTCTTGGTGCTTATAAAATAGTTCTATCATGCAAATGCAAACAAAACAAAATTTGGCACCAGCACTTTTCCAGTAATCAACAATCAATGTAGTATATTATTGGTCGCGTACCCTTTTGATTCGTTTGTTTACGGCCACGCCATGTACGTTTGGTGGTACTTAGTTATTTTCAATTAAAATGTTGGTATTTTATAGTCCGTCGTGTTTTATAGAATGTCGACACGATGATTATGGGTGCATTTCAGTTTTTTTTTGAAAAACAGCGATGTTTACACACTGCCGCTTATATTGCTTGCGAGTGAAGTCCTGCCCCATTCAGCAGGCTGGACTATGCTGGCTGTTAAAGCAGTATTCGGGGAACATCGAATACGTTAGTTAAGCCACCAAAGGCCACATGAATTCTTGGGGGATAGCGAGACTAGGACGAAGAAAATTAGAAGTTTGAGTAGATTAACCAGAAGAAGTATCGCGCTTACTAAAGTGTAGGCGTTTTCTTTGGTATAAGGAGAGAGGGACGAAAAAATTGAGAAGTTTGAGAAAGTTACCGGAAATAAGAAACTGAAAGAACTCACCCACAGGTGCTACAGACAGGTGAAAACCTACCAATCTCGCGTCGTTTGGCTGCGTCGTTTCTAAATACAGCAGTTGGTCTGAAGAAGACAAACAACAAAGTGCGCGCAGTGTGGCATACAGGCTATGCCATTCCATTGCAATAGCTAACTCTCCATAACATGAGCCGTTTTACGTCAGACAAAACGAGCGTTTCCGCCGATTATGATCTTAGGTTATGGTCGGCACGTTGATAAGGCATCCGAGTGTGGTACTTTGGGTCCGGCCAGTCAAGTGTACCTAATGCTAAAAGTTAGTGAGGAGTGTATTGCAGAAGTGGCTTATATAGTAGGAGCATGTAACATTTTCATGAGAATGCTTGCACAGTGCTGCTAGAATGAACTTCACTGTCCTGATGTAGTGTAGTAGTATATTCAAGGATTTCAAGACATGTGTTCCACGAATGTTTGTTCGGACAATGGTACGCAATTAATGCGATCTACTGCAGCCACGGGATATAGTTTGTGTGCATCATACTGCGGACATTCATGCAAAACATTCATGCTAAAAAGCTTTCTTACGACTTCGTATTGTTGGTCATTCCGAAGCCCTAAGAAAAGCGCTTAGTGGCAAATGCCTACATTTAAGGTCTAAATGCATTCTTCCGTAAAGTCATGGTTCTTTATATGTACTTCTCAGCCTCCTAGCTTGCAAAGCAGGCACTGGTTTGGCAGATTTGTCATTATGTATCAATAAGAAGCCTTGGTGAAGAAAGGGTAGCCGTCGTGACAAAATGGCGACTACAGAATTGTTATTTGGTTTTATTTCAATAAAAATAGATTCAGACTGCAAAATCTGACTCCACGTCTACACTACTGAAATCCAGAATACAAAATAAATCCAGACACCAAGATAACCTAGTCATCCAATATATTCACATACTCCAGTATGTGGGTTAGGTTGGTGGTTTTATAAACTATGGTTGCTCGACATGAGGAACGTTATCCCAGTACGTAACAATTTATACCGGTACCTCAAATAAGTCACGTTGCAGATTAGGAAGCTTTTTTTCTTGCGGTGGTATTCACATTGTACAGCTTTTTATAAGTAAATAACAGCAGTATTTTGCTTAGTAGCACACTGAATCTTGCTTTCAGTATTTGTCGTCGCATAACAGAGAGACTGCTTGTATGGGGCACGTTCATACACTTACTGAATCTGCACGCTTCAACTTCCGGTGGTGAAAGCATGAAATCAAACAAAACAAACTGAACAATGTTGGTAGAATACAAAACATCTGAAGCCTCCTTGATTTCATTCGGCAAGCGTATATGACAACAGCTGTTGCATATGACAAAGCGTATGTTCCCTGCTGTGGTAACAATTTCATTAGTCATATCCTTATAACGTAACAACAAGGGAATATTATTACGTTATAACAGCCAGATAAGCTGTTTAATGCAAGCTTCTTTGTTGTAGTTTATGAAAAAATGTGTCGTTTTTGTTTTTACTCTACGGATAAAAAATGTTTCTTGAAACACCGAACGGTATTTGTTCAAGGAAGAACCAGGCCAACTGAGTCATCGCTTATGCGCAAGACTTGTGTGTCTAAACTCGGCCATTCAATAACTGTACATTATGTTTTTAGCTTTATCGACCTGCCGTAATATTTATTCTACTGCTTCGAGGTGTTGCCTAGTGCTTGTATAGAACATCCCTTTCAACACGTTCGCAACTTTTTCTAAACAAGTTCTGTCAATTGAGAAAGACGTTGTTTTATCTTAGTTCATTTTAGTTACGTAGGTGCTATGATTCTAGCAGAAATCATGTACACTTATTAGGCTCATTTAGAGATTTCGAAAATCTGGTCATGGAATTCAGAAGCTCGATGTTCATTACACGGGCGCACATGCTTCTCAAGGCGAGATCTGCAAGATCGTCGGCCAGGACAATAAAGTTTTGCTGTTTAACGCACCTACAGGTTTTTTGAAAGCCCTCGCTTTTGTAAGCGGCTAAGCGGCTGCGTTCTAGAGTTATGCACGAACGGATTCCCAGAAATGTACGTAATCATTTGTAAGGATTGATCAAACAGCTGCTAAAACAACTTTATATGCATGTCACTCACGGCGTTACTGCATTTACAGAAAAAGTAGGCAACGCTATGTTTTCGTATCGAATCTCCTTGAATAACGCCAGAACTCGCTCACTTTTCAAGAGATTGTATCGTCTTTTCAAGTTTCGTCTATGCTAGCCACGGCTGCATAGCCAGCCAAACATCTGACGCTGCCTCGCTTTACTGAGAATCTAGCACTTCGAGAGGAAGCCGATTTCACGCACAGTGAATGACAGTCCGGGCCTATGTGGTTTAGAATCTCATGTTTCACATTTCTTCCGCACAAGAGACATGACACTTAATCTTAATTACGTTTGCTTTGTGTGCTGTGCGTGAGTAAGCAGTTGTGTTCCTTTATTTTGCTGCGTGAGTGTAGTTGATAAGTGACTGTAGCAATGCTTGTGTTTCCAGTGCTATTTTAATGACACTGAGACACGAGACTTGGTTGTTGTTGTTATTTGATCCAACCAATTATATCGAAGCTTTCAGTGCATAAATAGGAAATGACAGATTTTGGATGAGTCAATGAGAAATTAATTATGCTAGACTTTTTGAGCCCGCACTGGAACAAAGTACCCCATCCAAGTCATAAATTTGCTAGTGTACTTCAATTTGCATGACGATATTTCGCTAAGTTTTTAACATAATTCAGGCGTAAGCACCTTCTCAAGAGCAATAACACAGTCCATGAACGCGGTGTGTCGTGGTTTCCTTCTTGAGAAGTTTGTTGGCAAAGTGTTCGGTTTACCTTTTTTTAATTTGTAGTACAGCAGCGGTCTCATTCGAGACTGGCATACGTCGGAGCTTTTTACTTGCGGCCGCATTCTCAGTCCGGAATCAAAACTCACAACACCTAATGTTGGCGGCACAATGTTCAGAACTGTCAAGCTAGTTCGACTTTAGA